GGATTACAGGTGTGAGCCACCGCGCCTGGCCCAATTAATAAATATTCTTGGTGGCTTGGTCTAGTAGTATGGGAGGCTATCCAGAACAATGGCCCTCCTATAAAAAAGAACCAGATCAGCCCGGTGTGGTGGCAGGCACCTGTAATCCCAGGTCCTTGGGGGGCTGAGGCAGGAGGATCACTTGGGAGGGGGAGGTTGCAGTGAGCTGAGATCATGCCCTGTACTCCAGCCTGAGCCATAAAGTGAGCCTCCATCTCAAAAACAAACAAAATAAAGAATGAGATTATGTCCTTTGCTGGGACATGGGTGGAGCTGGAGGCCATTATCCTTAACAAACTAAAGGATGAGCAGAAAACCAAACACTACACATTCTCACTTATAAGTGGGAGCTAAATGATGAGAACACATGGACACAGAAAGGAACAGCACACACTGACCTAGCAAAGGACAGAGATTGGGAGGAGGGAGAGAATCAGGAAAAATCATTAATGGATACTAGAGTTAATACCCAGGTGATGAACTAATCTGTACATCAAACCCCCTTGACACGTTTACCTATGTAACCAGCCTGCACATCCTGCACAGGTACCCCTGAACTTAAAATATAAGTTAAAAAAGTAAATGACAAAAACATGTACCCCTGAACTTAAAATATAAGATAAAAAAGTAAACGACAAAAACAACTGCCTTCCATTAAATTTGTTTAACAACCACATCACCCATTTTCACTTCTAGGGAATTGCTTTGAACAGTGTGCACAGATGGTGATATTGTTCATTAAAATGCACGCACACACAGACACTAAAGCCTACCGTTTCCTTCCACTCTGCCCTAATGAAAACAAAACATACTCTTAACTACATTTCTGCCTGTCGTGAGTACCCCCTTCTGTGTTTAAGAGCACAATATGCTAAAATCTTTTATTTTTTATTTTATTTTATTTTTTGAGACAGAGTCTTATTCTGACACCCAGGCTGGAGTGCAATGGCGCAATCTCGGCTCAATGCAGCCTCTGCCTCTCGGGTTCAAGCAACTCTCCAGCCTCAGCCTCCCAAGTAGCTGGGATTACAGGCGTGCACCACCATACGTGGCTAATTTTTGTATTTTTAGTATAGACAGGGTTTTTCCACGTTGCCCAGGCTGGTCTTGAACTTCTGGTCTCAAGCAATCTGCCTGCCTCAGCCTTTCAAAATGTTGGGATTACAGGTGTGAGCTACCACGCCCAGCTCTAAAATGTTGCTTCTGCTCTCTGCCTTTACTTCTTACCTCCAGTTCTCTCTTGAATGCATCTGATCAAACTTTGATATCCACCATTCCACTGATAACTTCATTTTTCAGAGTTACCAGTGACCTTCTCATTTCTAAATCCAGTCTGTTTCATTTCCTGCTCTAGTCTTTCTTTACCTTTCAGGAGCTATTTTTTTTTTTTTTTTTTTTGTCACCTCCCTGACCACTTCTCACTTTCCTCTGCTTCTGTCCTGACTATGAACGTTTCTGAATGTGGGAATGACTCATGGCTCAGTCCTTTAACCTCTTCTTGCCTCTGTCCACGCCCACTGTTTTTCCTCATCATCTCATCTCATGGCTCTAAACACCGCTGCATTCGTGCATTCTCCAATTATTATAAAGAAACACCACGGCCAGGCGTGGCGGCTCACGCCTGTAATCCAAGCACTTTGGAGGCCAAGGTGGGCGGATCACCTGAGGTCGGGAGTTCAAGACCAGACTGACCAACTGGTGAAACCCCATCTTTAAAAAAACAAACAAACAAACAAACAAACAAAAAAAAACAACAAAAAAAAACACCAGAGACTGGGTAATTTATATATAGATGTATATATTTTTTTACTTTTACTTTTCACATCAAAGGACATTTCAGTGCTAGAGACTGGGTAATTTATAAAGAACAGGGGTTTAATTGGTGCAGTGTTTTGCAGCCTGCATAGGAAGCATAGCAGCATCTGCTTCCTGGGAGGCCACAGGAAGAGTCCAATCATGGCAGAAGGTGAAGGAGGAGTAGGCATCTCACATGGTGGGAGCAGGAGCAAGAGAGAGTGACGGGGGAGGTGCTATACACTTTTTTTTTTTTTT